CAATGATAACGACCTATGAATAAACATTGCATTTGTAACCCGAAGTTGAGTTTCTTTTCATTTTGATTGTTTAAACTTATTCTACGGTTTTTTTCATTTTGATTGTTTAAACTTATTCTACGGTTTTTTTCTTTATGTTCAAATCCTTTTTGCACAAACAAACCCCCCCCCTCGTATTTAATTTTAAAGTTTCATTTTTGTACTTGATTATCTAGTCCTAAAGAGTTAAAGCCGAGTCCCTGTGGATTCGACCCGACTTACCACTTTTACAATTTTGGTTGTAAAATTGTGCGTTAGTTTGGACTTTATTATTTGCCGGTCTCGACACCCGTCAAACTAGATATTAGAAACTATAAATTTTCAAGTGATGTTGTCACTACCAAATGGAGGACTTTTTCTAACGCCCGTTATCTGCCCGTAAAATTATTTAATTAAAGTTAATTGATCTTCAAAATTCTAATTTTTAGAAATCCATTGCAAAACCACCGGAAATCTTACCGGAATAAAAAAAATACATTTTTCTTTAACAGTTAGCAGCGGATTACATTACAAGCGGAAGTCAACGGAAGTTGACCTTTTTAACATCCACCCGTGTTCCGGATATTTCCGCCGGAAATGGCTGCCAAAAATAGTCAGTTTTCTAGTAGCGTGTGCACACCTCGTAACCTTTTATAGAAGAAAAATAAGTACGACTTGTATCAACCATGTAATGCACGTGCATGTCTCTTCTTAAAAATACTTTCAGAAAATTCCAAAACTATTGCAAAACAACAACAGCGGTGGAAATGAACTATAAGATTTTGAGAGACAACATTTGAGTTATATTAAGAGATTTTCAAAAATCATGATTTAATATGTAGTACTTACCGCTTAAGATGTTGTCTGTAAGACGTGGGTCTGGGGGAAAACAAGAGTGCAAACTTGGGTTTGAGGGCTGTAACGGGTGTTTTTCTTCTAAATGAAAGGGTTGTTTCTTATTAAGGGGAATAGGGAAAATTAATGTATGACTGTAAAGGACTGAGGTTTTCTAGTTGAGCGTTAAGCACTCGGCTTAACGAATAAGCCATAACCAAACAACTTTTTATGGCTGAGCAAGTAAGCGATAACCATTATACAACCAATTAGGCTCTTTCCGGACAATTTAATAAACACATGATGTAATAGCATTGACTGAAGGGGTTGTTCTTTATTAGACACTCAATACCATTAGATAGCCCCAAAACCGGGTTGTTACAGTACTGTATGATCACAAAAAAGGTAGGTAAAACAATGATAATTAGACCAAAACCAGTGGGATCAAATACTGTTTGTATAGTTAATAGTTATTGAGGGATATACTATAATCCTCAAAACGCATATAGACATCAAGAAATTAATGTAAACATAATAAATTGATAGATCTAATTAAGCAAATTACCTTTAAATAACATAGTCGGATTTCCTCATGCCGATTATGTTAAGATATTGAAGTGAATCGGTATAACTTATACCTTTTTACACAATAATTTTGAAACTCAAGAACACGTCGTATTTACAAACAACAAGAAGACGATCAACATGGATGGGCAGACCCAAACCAAAATTCTTAGAAAAACAAGTCAAGCAAATCAGATCTGGCTTTTATTTCTTCTAATCATTGAAAACAATCAATACTGTTTCGAATGAAGATCTTTTTGACCAAATGAATAACAAAGACATCCAATCAAATATTACTTTGACCCCTCCCCCTCCCCCACCCCTCTCAAAAAAACAAGAAATTAAAAATCAAACCAGATCTAACTTGTCACAAAAGAGAACGGGTGGACCAACAACCCTTAGCTTAAACAAGAAATTAAAAAGAAAATCAGATCTAACTTAAAGCAAAACAACTGTGATACAAACCAAACTGGTTTGTAGAATTTTTAAAAATTGAATTGCGTATAAAAATATCATGAACAGAAGCAGAAGGAGAGACAGATTTAGTAGATTTTCAGAGCGGATGCACCAAATGCTCCATAGATTATAAGTTACCAAAATGCTCCATAGATTATTTTCAAACTATATTTTTGGTCCATCAGATATGTTTATTGCGATTTTAGTCTCTTGTCAAATATCTTTCGACAAAATGGTCAATTCATTGTTAACGGTAACAATATCATCTATATATATTTCAAAGATGAAATTGCATAATTTCTTAGATTTTTAAACATAATTAACATTTTCATCACAATAAAAAGACTATTATGTTTGTTTGAAAATAAGACAATGTTTGACAAACATGAGCTAACTTATATTTTTAGGTCACGTTGAATGGATATAAGTTAAGTTATGTTGAACTGCTAGTTGGAGTAGCGTTTTAGAAGTTTTTGTCACTTTTATCAGTTATAACTTTGATTAATATTAACTGTTATTTATTATTATTAATAACTAAATAACTATTTTAATTTACTAGAAGCGTACTCGCGCAATGCAGCGAGATACATCGTGTTTTTAATATTTCATTTTATTCTTTATCTTAGTCGATGTTATAATATGGCTTTATGTGATTTTGAGAAAGCGATGATATTTTTATTTTTGAATAAAATATATGTTTGAYGATATCATAAAAATTTGACAAAAATATATCGATATTAATATTAAATTAACTATTTGAAATTTCTCATTTTTTTGTGTAATTTTTTAATCCAATTTGTTTATAATTTAATTTATGTATAATAA